CACAATCTTATCTACCTCACATCTCAATTACATATTTGTTGAACAGAGAAATAGGTATAGACATGTATAGGCAAAAGTGTATAGCAGTTTGAATGTTTTACTTCGGACTCAGAAGTTGACTTGGAGTAGTTTAAAAGTGCAGAAACAGTTCTATATGTAGGACATAGTGTTGAATACATCTGGGTAAAAGACAATCTTGTATGGTTCTGCCAAAAATCTCCTTTGGGCCAAAAATGGACATGGTGTCCAATACTTTCCATCCACAAATATAACACGCAAGTACAAAATTGATGCATATTAATCTAAAAATAAATAATAAAATATTTGAATGTAAAATTGGTGTTTCTTAATAAAAAATAATAATTTTTGGATAAGAAACAATGGATGTACAGTACTTTTTTGCAGAATAAATCCAAAAGATGGGCGATTCAACATAGTCATCAGAATCCCTCAATACCGCGTACAAGGGCGGTATCAGATCACTGGAAGTATCATTGGCATTCCTTTGGAAGGTTCTGGACACTTCGAGGCAACAGGCAGTAAGTAAAATATCGGGAAAACTTTATTTTTTTAAATGAGTATACAATAATGTGACGCTACACTCATTCTCAAGAAGGTTTTACAGCCTTTTAATTTATACGGCTTCGTATTCAACAGAACCGAAACATTTTATTAATTAGCTACACTAGTCGTCGGCCGTAGAATTCAGGGCTTCTTTAAAACTCCGAAATTTTATCGGTATATGTGCGTTGCCATTTCGTATTTGCCATTTCGTTATCCGAAAGATACTAATGAGGGTGGGATAGTGAACGCTAAAGATAAAAAATAAATTGCATTATAGTTTAAGGGACATTTCATACGTGTAAGAATCAATATTGCATTATTTAGCAATATATGACAATCATTATTTGCAATTTTGTGTTAATTTATTTTCAGTTAATTGAAGTTTGGACATAACATATATACAAGTGTACATTTTATCCTTCGCCGAAAATTCGGGACGCGTCATCCGGAGTGTCGAGGGCTGGCTCGCTCTGAGAAGCGCAAACTCAACTACCCTGCTGACACATGGAAACTGTCGCTGCGCTTAACGTACCTTAAGATTCTGAAATTGGTGTCCTTCTGCTAGAACGCATTTATGGCATATCCAAAACATATGCCGATTGTTTTTTCTGATGAATCGTGGCTTCATCTCACTGGATACGTCAACAGTCGAAACAACCGCTATTGGAGTGCAGAAAACTCTCAACTTCACGAAGAACAACTTCACGACGTAAAGATCAGAGTGTAGTGTGCGTTGAGTTTCACAAGAATTATAACACCTATGTTTTCAATACTACCGTATTGTTGATATTTACATCAATCAGATATTGACATTATTCTTGGATCAATTGTCACCAAACGAAAATCTATATGGTTATTTTCAACAGGATTCGACAATTACACTGCTGTTCGATCCAAGAACTTTTTAAATTCTATTTTTAGTATTGATGGAATACTTTATGGTGAGTTATGGGCTCCTAGATTACCTTATCTGATATTTTGAGACTTTTTACTTTAGAAGTACTTGAAAAAGGTCGTGTGTATGCAAAAAACTCGCATTCGGAGGAAAAGCGCCGGCGCTCTATAGAAGAGAAAATACCAGCAATTTCTCAAGACTTACTTCAAAGGGTAAATCAGAATATGTTCGGGAGGTGCCAAGAATGCATTCGAGCTGAAGGACATCGGGTAAATTAAGCGCAGCGATTGTTTCCGGATGTCAGCATGGGAATTGAGTCAGCGCTTCGCTGTGCGAGCGACCCCTCGACTCCCCGGACGACGCAGAATCATCAGACACCTTCAGCGAACAACAAAATTACATTTGGTGTTTTGAACATTTTCTGTCGTAGCAGTTCTTTCCGCGGTGTCACATTCACGTCCTTTTGAAGAATACTTCAACATTCAATACGTTGCTCTGAAAGCATATCTGTTCTTTGTATGGGCATATACAAAAATAGATTCCGAAATGTTTATGGCAGAAATCGCTATAAAAGAACGCTGGAGTTGCCACGAAATGAGTCATGGTGGTTTGCAATAGTTTTGTAAACATTCGAAAGGCACAAGAAAAAGAAACTATAGCTTTGGATTAGGAAAGTCTGTAATAATAAAACTCGTTACCTAATTTTAAGAAGAAAAATACGATGTGGTCTGTCGTGGACGCCCTAGCCCCCATTGGTCTGCGACTGTTAAGTCGTACCGGACTCTTCCAAACAACCATTTCGATTGGAACTAAGTTGTATTAAATGATGCATTTACCCTTGTAAAATCCTTCCGTATGAACGTACACCAGATTACTGTAAGAAAATATTACTAAAAGTCTGTATCTGTATTGTTTGTCCACAGTTAATATGACCAATGATATGTTGATGCAAGGCCATCTACAAGAACGGCGAGGTGAAAAGTTTTTTGTTATCGATGATTTCAGTCAGAAAACTCACCTGGACACAATGTCAATATATTTGTACAATCTCTTCAATAATACTAGGCTAGGTAAGTATGTATTGATAAATTGAAACAAATGACACCGGACATTCAATAACACACGAGATGTATCACAAAAGAGAATGTAAAAAATGTAATTACAAAATATACGAATGTAATATGTTGCTCGCATTTAACTTCGACTGTCGTTTTCTCTTGCAGCAAATGCTACTAACCGCCTCCTCAACGAAAACCACCGCGCCATCTTGGATGGCGAAGGGGGGGAGCTGGTCAACGTACTCTGGGGGAAGTTGCACGAAGGGCTCATCCAGAGAATTTTCGACAAAGTCCCCTACCGAATCATGTTTCCCGATCTTGACTAAGCGACCTGTAGACGAGAAAGAAAAAAATATAATTATTATTATTATCCCTCTCAACTTCCCATATTCGTGAAACGGCACCCGTTGCAGCGAGATGAGAGAAGAAAAGCGACAATTTGACAGTCGACAACGAAGGGACACTTGTTTTTTTTTAGTTTGAACGCATGGTTGAACTCCTCTTTTAATTCTGTTTGTTTCTGCGAAGTTTGTTTTCATGGAGGAGGTATAAAATTTCATCACGATCACAACGAAGGAAATTTACCATTTTTAATAAGAAAGACATCCTCACAATCTTGAACACGTTAGTGATGAGTGAAGGTCCAAAAGATCCATAAGATTCAAAAGATCATGACTTAAGGAAGCATTGCATTATTCCTTTTTTTCATTGTTATCATCACGGAGGAAAAAAATTGATTCCTCTGCGAGGGGCCCGATAAGAGATAATGAGGCCGTCCGTAAATTACGTAACGCAGATTTTGAGTATTTTGAATACCTCCTCTCCCTCCTGTAATGCACCTGTGAGGGGTGCTTGAATCCCCCTAATTATTACGTAACGCTTGTGACAAGCCCCCCTCCCCCGACGATTCCATGAATTGATGAAAGATATTTCTTTATTATAACTTATAGAAAACTAACTTCCCTAATTTATACTTGTAATTTAAATTGTTAGAATGGTAATGTTTTAGTATAGGACTGAATAAAATAAATTATTTCGGCAAATGTAGAACGATTTTTAAAATAAATATCAGCATCACGTAACACTAAACTCTGACCCCCTACCCCTATGTAACGCAACGTAATGCTGCCTCAAATCCCCTCTCCTCTCTTCAGCGTTACGTAATTTATGGACGACTCCTAAGCACCAAAAAACTACTCTATTCGTAAAATAACATTATGTTTTCAAAATTCTCTTAAATAATATCGGTTAATGGGTTAAGTTTTTCAATGTAAGTACATTTATATGGCTGTCCTGCCTAATGGTTTTATAATACACATTAGCTCTTATGGTTTCTTATTATTTTATTGACTACAGAATTAAGATCAGATTTAATGGTTAAATTGAACGATGTACATGCGATCTACGATTTGAAGTTGAATGTCAGAATACTTTTTGTTTACATTGTTTCGGGGTATATGTTTGTTTCTCAATTAAGGTACTGTTACAATTATATTTTACTGTTACTCATTATTTTCTGTAATATAGTTTATAATAGACATTCCAGTTTTAAGTTTTAGGCTATCGACTATTGTTTGATACATTAAAATATTAAAATAACTTAGTAAAACCAAATGTTTATTTTTCAATTTGTAAAAGTGTTTGCAGATTTCAATAAATCTCCATTCTCAGGTATAACTAACTTTTTAAACTATTATAAATATTTTAACAAATTTTGGTCATAAGACCGAGTTAATTTTTAAGAAAATACAAAATGTTTAAGCGAAAAAGCGCCAATTTAAGAAAAGCATACATTCTTTGTCATAAACATAGCCTATTACTTAATGTATTGTAAGATATTTTGATCATATAACACTGATACAATACGAATGATAACATTATCACAAAGCAAAATATGTAAATTAAACAACCCTAATTTCTCTTCAATTCCCTTCCTCTCTGTCCTTGCACTTCCCTTCTTCTCATCTCCCTTCTGATGTCAGGCTTTCCTTTCCAGAAGTACGTTCTTACGTTTTCACAGAAAATCTGATAATGTAGTAACATTCTTTAATAATGTAGTAATTTTTAAGCCTGCCAAATCTCCGCAACCAAGCATCTGAGAAAGTTTCTCAAGATCTTTGCTTAATATTCTACTAAATATATACTAATATTGCAAATGTATTCTGTTGTGGATTTACAGGCCTAAGGATTAAGTTTCCGAATTACATCACGAAGATAACCAATATCCCATAGTGAACTATGCACAATTTTTGCCAAATAAGATAATATTCCTACGAATTCGAGCTTTTTAGATCGCATGTAATGTGTGGTCTTAAATTTTACTCGCCCTTAATACCAAAGTTGTTAAGATATTTATAATAGTTTAAAACATTATTTGTACTTTTTACCTTTGTATTGTTTCATCGTGTACCTAACGATGGAGACGCAACCAAATCTCCAAAACATTGTAAACAATTGAAAAATAAAACACATTTTGTTTTATTTAATGTAATACATCCATTTTTAATTATTCGAAAAACTTATTGGATATGCTTGAGACTCACAGTCCCAGATTTACTGATATATTCATGTTCATTGACACTGGAGACCTTAAATCGGTAAATCTTGTGGAAGAGGAATCAAATTTAGATGTGGTGTTTAAGGTTTCAAAAGGTTCAATTGGAATGTGGCTCATGATCAAAAAATAAATCCGAGGCACTCGCACTTATTGGCGAATTAACTTTATGCAATATACAATAACAGAATTATTTGTGGTAAATAAATATTTTTATATTTCTTGTAAAAGAAATATACCACAACACTGGGCTATTTGCTCTGAAGTATAAGCGTACGAAAGTATTCTCTCAGAAGTATATGCGTACAATTCATCTTTCTTCTTCATCTTTGTCATCAACAGCTAAAACAAACAAACATTGCAATACATTAAAAATATGGATGAAACCTCCTCTAAGTACTCAGAACCCTAATGACGCTTTTTATGGCCTAATGAAACTAATTGAATGGGTAAGTGGAAAGACAGTACTAGTCCAAAATTGGTCTTATTTTACAACAATTTGTGCAGATGGCATGGGACTACATATTGGACTGAAAAGAGTTCAATACAAGGTCGTCTGACGTCAAATTACACAGCTCATTATCTTTGATGTGTGAAATAATATGTCTTTGATGAGTGAAATAATCCAGAAATATGTTCTGGACATTTATTGCTCTTCGACCTAGGATTTCAGACGTCTAGTGACTCGTATTGCTTCCCGTGGATGGTTCACATTTGTTGTTTGCCAATGATATAGGGCTTTCCTTGTGTTACTAATCAATTGTAATTAACCTAAGAGAGAGATATGAAAGGAAGAGCAAGGCAAAGAGAAGGTATTTTTTTATTTCGTAGAAAGAAGGTTCACATTCAAGTTTGTAAAAAAGCATTCACTGGCTTAATGCCACAAATGGAATGTCACACACAAATGTTCAACGACTGACCGGCATTCTTTTGTCAGATCTATCTATAAAGGTTGGAAGAGGAAAGCAAAATAACAGACCTCATGCTACAAAGAAAACCAATCTTGTTAAGATAAAACGACACAGAATACTTTCCAACGAAAATTTCACTCTACTCATCAGATCGGTGAAGTTCATGCCGAGAGAAGTGAATGTTGAAGCACAGCCTGCTCACAAAAAAATCTTGAAAAAGAAATTCTATTGATACATGAGCTTGACATAAAGTTTCAACTTGAAATTTTGACGACCGCAAGATATATTACTTATGTGCACTCTTACAATAATTCATTGTGGTAGTTTTGTGGCACATTGTTAATGTGCAAAAGAAATTTGGTTTGTAAATCGTTGAGATGGAAAACAGTGCAAAGTCAAGGTGTTTGTTTTCATTATAATACGTTGTTAGTAATGTCTATCCCAATTATTCCTCGGAACGTATTTGTATGGCTTCGTACAACATTTATGAAATAAGAAAATTGTTTAAATCTCACCACTTTTGGAGTCATAGTTATAACTTTGTTCATTCGGAGATAAATCTACTGGGTCTAGCACTATTTTCCCGCTCACCCATTCATTTCAGAAAGTGATTGCAATACATTGTGTCGTAATCGCAATCATTTTCTTGTGAGATTAGTGTCAGAAATCAGTCAAGAGCGAGATACTTACAGTATATTACTTAGCACTACCAAAATGATATTATTACATTTCAATTCTATACATTTCCTCTCAAAACTCAGTTTTGTGTCGTAAATTATTTGTTTTGTTTTATTAGGAGGCTACATTAAAATAATTATGAGTTGTCATTGCCAACAATATTGTTTATTACAATAGCAGCTTTCGATGTCTTGGCCATCACTTTTCTGCTGTATGGCAGCCACAAAAACGACGAGTAGTCGGGTAGTAGAATCATTTACACGTTTTGGTTCATTTGTCAATTTAAAAAATTCAAGATTGTAGAAATGAGTGTCTCAGGAGTACTATATTGAAGTGCTAAAAAACATTCACACCAAGTCCAACATATTTTTAACTTCAAACTGCTTGCCGTTTTTTGCTTGCTTTTATTTTGAGAGTTATATTTTCGCGATAAACTATAACAAATCTTGTGTTATTTATTCACAACAATTCGTTGTACATAACAAAAGTTGTATCATTTCTACTTTCACCTTTCATAATTTTTTAATTACATAATTAAAGTTAGTGATAGCACTTTTATTAAATATTTGGTTACTATTTTTCCTGAATTCAATTGATGAAGTAGCAAATAAATATTTAAAAAAGAACCTTTCGTTTGGCATTGATATTAATATCTACAACAAAGAAACTACTAAAAATTTTGTGTTATTATTCCATTGTAAATAATTTAGGAATCATTGTCAAGATTAAGAGGTTTTGCTCCTTGTTGGTTTTTATTTCTTTAAAATTATGTGGGTAAAACCATTAATTTAAATATAATATAATTTCCCCATATATTCCTTCAGATAGAAGGCCCATATCATATAGTTACCAATTTAAAAAAGAAAATGTTGCTGTTTAATAATGAAGAATTCGCGTTGTCATATATGGGTTTTACTGTTCTTCGACTAAATTTAAAACATCATGTGGAAGAAATTATGCGGAACTCCTTAGAGATGGATAAATAGAAATCTTCCACAACAAAAATATCATACTTAACGATTTCTTGCAAAATCCTGATTTCTCGAAGGAATCAGAGTATGTTGGTTAACGTTTCTATTAGAACAACATTCATCCTGTAATCTTCAATTCTGGATGAAGATGTCAGATCAATGGATGTGTATTGATTCTTCGAAATGAAGCTTCTGAGCTGTTGGCCTTAATAACAGACACCAATAAATGTACCAATGAAAATAACTGCTAAGACATTAATCATTAAGCACACTAATGTATTGTATGCGGAGACTTGAAAATTATTAGATGTTGGAACTATTACTAAAACTTTCTAAATTCCCGGCATTGGAATTGGAATTGGAATAAGTCGGCTTGTGAATTGCTGCATGGCTACATAGATACCTATTAAATATCTGGTACAAATTTTCATTTCAGAATTAATGCAATAATAAAAGTAGCAATGATAGCGTTAAAATTAATAATAATAACAATGTAGATTATAATATCATCTAGACGTAGCTGCTTGGGGAATGACAGAGAGACTTTCTATGCATAATGTAGATTATTCACACAACCTAGTTGGCTTCGTTTGCTAAATAACAAACGATATATCTTTTCTCTTTCTGACTAGATTTGGAACGCGATATATTTTTTAAATTTGGGATTCAACATACTTGTCGTAACTGAGTGATGCTATTTGTTTCAAATGCCATTCGTTAACATTATTTCAGTTGTATGCCTAGCAGATGATCCAGTTTGAAGTACAAACCTGTTGGCGCTGTGTCCACATCTGGGAACATAGCCCTGTAGGGAACCTTGTCAAATATCTTCTGCATGAGCCCTCCATGTATTCTTCCCCAGACGTGGTCGATAATGCCGATGCCTGCCTGCACGACAGCTTTACTATTCGAGTTAAGGAGTCGGTTGGTGATTTCAGCTGCAATAGGCACATTTATTTGAGAAAGTCGCAGTCAAACATCTTTGTTATTAAATTTCCTTTCATTGAATTAATAGAAATTTCCTTCTTATTGAAATTTACACATTGCCGTTCTATTTTAAACTGCACATATTTTTCGGGCTAATACCATAATGATGTAAGTACTCACTTCGTTTGGCGTCGTTGAAAACATTGCTCAAATTGAAATGTACTTGATCCATTAGTGATTTCTGAACGAAGTCATCAATGACGAGGAACTCTTGTCCATTGCGAACGTTTTGGTGGCCACGAAGGTGCATATCGTTGGTGAGATTGTCTGTTAACAAGTTTTTTTTATTTAGACATTTTCTTTTAGAACTATCTCAGCATCTCATGACATTAGGTCAATTCAAACAAACTGAAGATTCTGCTCATCAGAGACCAATCAGAGTCTCACGAGAGACCAATCAGAGTCCCACGAAAAACCAATCAGAGTCCCACGAGTCATCAGTGTTTTCTGAGAAACGTCAGTTTTTTGAGACACACAAGTGTTTTCTGAGACACATCAGGGTTTCCTGAGATACATCAAGGTTTCTTAAGACGGTGAAACCCAGCTCCATCCTAAGCTTGAGTAGTGTTGCGAAAAGTATATGCCAAGCAAACACCGCATAATAATTTGTTCTTTGCAACCGGCACCGATGCACCCATATTTCGGAGCAATCGCTTGAGCGATTAAGAAATTTGTGAAGAACATACTTCACATAAAGATACACATTCGCACATGCATTTTTAAATATTACGATAGAAAAGATACAAATTTTGGTATATACTCACAGAAAATCAGTGTTAAATTTCCGGAGCCTTCTAAAGGGATTCCAACAATACTGCCTGTTACGTCGTACAGACAGCGCATGACGTATCGTGGAATTTTAATGACCATGTGGAAGTCGTTATCTTTTGGATTAATTCTGCAAAGGAAGTTAATAAACACGACAATGCTAGACTATGAATGTTTTAAAGTTTTTGAAAACAATAAAAACGGGAAGAATACAATAATATTATTACCATATGTAAAAAGAAATAAATTTATAAAAATACAAATTGGCAGGAAAATACTTTTCGATTTATCTAAAAGCTAGTATGAAAAATATAATACTTGGCTCCATTAAGAAACAAGAGCTTCACTTAACGTTATGCGACCTTACAAAATTCTGAAAAAAAATAGGAAGGATATCTGTTAAAGGAGATCATTACTCAACTTTGATTTTAAAGTTAACACACAAAAAGGTTTTTATAGTAGAGAGAACATTTGTTGTCCAGAAGTAAAGCACCGCAACAATCGCAATAGATCAAGGGAAACAACTAAAAGACCAACCAAAACCGGAGACAAAGACCTCGATGGGCGTTAGAACAGTCCATGTATTTTCATATTTTTGAAATTATAATATATAAAAACTAATACATATTTAATATGAAATAAATTGATTTTTTGTTTTATTACTCGGAATCTGCTATCTTTTTTAAAATTGATTTCTTCTCGTTCTACATTTCTGTCCCTCGATGGGTTTGAAAACAGTACATTTTATTTTATAACGTTTTGGATATGGCCATACATAGCAAAGAAGTATTCATTCCTACTCGTAAACATGGTCTAAAGTTCGAAGATTTGTTCAGGTTTTCGGGTTTGGTCTGAGGTGTAACGTCGAAGTTAAGGTAGTGCTACGAAAGGTGTAAAGGAAACAAGAAGTTACAATGTTCTCAGTGGATTCTTGGGGAACATTGATTTAATATGGGGCCATGAAGCACGGCGGCTGAGATTAAATATTGTGGAACATGCTGAAGAGTAAAGGTTCTGATAAAAATGGACAGCTATTTTGCTTATCCGATGTTCATTTAATGGCAATATAGTATTTAGTTTGTGATGAATTTGGGAATTTGTAATAAACCAAGTTGCCTTGAGAGTCTTTCTTAGGAATCTATTTTGGAATACCACTAACGTTTGGAGGTCACTGGGTTCTACACCACCGGGTACTGGACTTGGAAAGGTTAGAGTAGGTTGAATAATTGATGTATACAGTAATATTCGGCTTTCGATACTAGTGGCAGAGCGAGAGTTGATTGAAGGAAAAATCTTTGACGTTTTTATCAGAGTTTTAGTAGCAGTTGCGCGTATAGTACAAAATAGTTCTGCAGAAAATGTTTTTTGGCATTTTATCTATTGCGCCGATTTTAGTCGTTTATCTTTATCTGACAATAAACTGTAAAAAAAACGTATGAGTGCTGCGCATAGTTTTAGAGAGCTGTAGTGCAATAGAAAATGGTGAAATGAAATACGAAATAATACAATAGAAAAACGAAAAATAACTTCAGAAAGCTTCATAAATATCTCATGTAGAAAAATGATAAAACCAAATATCAGGTTAGTCCTCTATGCAACAAGACTTGCATTATCACAAATCGAAAGAGAGAATACTTGAAAAGCGAGGGGACCCACGCTAGTCTACAGTTAGATCCACGTGTTCTTTAGTAAAATCAGCACAATATGTTTATCCCGCCAACTTTCGCTTATTAACTGATAAGCTGAATGAATAATTTATCTTAATAAATAAATGGCAAAAGGAAAAATTCACTTGACCACCACAATTCAGTTGTTTCAAATGCAAAGCTCATGGCGTAAGGTATTGAAAGGTTTTACTTACTCTGAACGCAGCACAACCGCGTCTTTCCAGCCTTCATAAGTTACATCAGTGTAATTGAAAGCCAACGTTGGAACAAAGCTGTTGTTTTTCGCAATTGAGATTAATGGAATGTTTAGAGGGTCTATAGGCACAGCGTTCAATATGCGTAAACCTGAAATAAATTGTACAGTAGTTTCTGAAGAACACATTAATAACATGAATCATTTATTACTTTCATAATCATTGGTCAGAAAACTTCTGTCTTCTGACTAATAAAGTACTGGAACTGACAATGAACGACTGACTGAGACATAAAGTAACACTGACAGTGTTTAAAACTCGTAGTAAATTAAGAAGACAAGGATGTGGCAGGAGAGGGGCGGTGTAGAGGTCGAGAAAGAGAGAAGAAGCAAGGGAGGGTGGGCGGGGTGGGCGGGGCGGGGCGGGGGAGGGGTGGGGCCTGGAGGTGGCAGGGAAACTCAGTTGTATCAATAATTTCATACAAACTTTAGTTGTAATTTTGTTTGAGTTGTTTGAGAATTGAATTATTGCATGAATCAGTAATAAATTAATATTTTTGTTTTATGTTAGTAAGAGTTTTATATGTTTATTAACAAAATGTAGGGGGGCCCTTATTCAAACGGTTGTTAAAATTTAATACATATTTCAGAAATTGTGAGTTGGATTGTAGTTAAAAAAAATAGGGTTGCTAAGAGCTTCGAGAGGTAGATGCTATCGTATTCTTCGTCATAAATAAATAAAATAGGAAGTACATTAAGATACATTTTTACTCATTTTGAATTTTTAAATTATTCTTTTATGAAAGTATTTATTTACAATTTTTGCTACTAGTGAGGTGCTAGAGAAATACCATTGATGCATATTTTATAAAATCACACCACATATCAATTTTACTGACGATCCATTTCTTGAATACATTGTATTCATATTAAATTTTATTAATATTTGTATTGTATTCTTTTTGAAATGTGCATTATGGCTAGACAATATCTGAAGAAAATTATTTTTCTTTTTTGTACATTTTATTATAAAACGTTTTTATAACACAAACAACCTGTCCGGATGTTTTCCCAACCCATCATCAGGTTCTGCAGTAAATTTCAAAAAATGTTTTGAAAAAACCGAGAGCAACGGCGTTTGTGTAGAGTTGTCAGTGCTAACAGACAATCAACACCGTGAAATAAAAGCAGAAATCAATGTGGGGCATACAAAGAACGACTCCGTGTGGGCAGCGAGGAAATTTTGCTGTAATGGGGCTGTGGAAGCAGACGACCGACTGGAGTGCCTTTGCTGACAGAACGACATCGCCTGCAGCGTCTCTCCTGGGACTGAAATCGGAACCCATATGACCAAGGTACAGTTTTCTAGTCGATATGGTTAAAAACCGACTAGAAAACCGTGGCTTAGTCAAAAGGGATCCGATTCCAGTATGAAAGAGCTGACGGCAGGGGTTCGAATGAACGCACCCAACTCGAAGCCATGGATCCAGGTTGTCACCAAGGCACTGTACAAGCTGGTAATGGCTCTGTATTGGCGTGTGTTGTTTTTATACTGAATGGACTAGGTCCTCTGGTCGAACTGAACCGATAATTTACCTGGTTATGTTCTGCTACTTTGAGACTATGTGCAGCCCTGTATGGAGTTCATGTCCCTAAACGTTGAGAACCACGCTACAATCGATCACGATTGGTTAGAAGAACATTCTGGAGAATTCGAGAGAATAATTTTGCTACCTAGGTCTCCCAACATTAATCCCATCGACCATTTATGGGGAATAATCGAGTGGTCAGTTTGTACACAGAACCTCGCACCAGTAATATTTTCGATTTATGGGCGACTATAGAGGTAGCATGGCTCCATATTTCGGCATGGGACTCCCAACAGTTTGTTGAGTCCATGGCACGTCGAGTTGCTGCATTTCGCCGGGTAAAATGACGTTCCACACGATATTAGGAGGTAACATTGACATTTGTCACTTCAGTGTTTTTAATATGATTGACCTTCGTTATCCAAGGGCGATTCAAAATTCTCAAATAGTGTTGTAGCTGACATACCTTGAATAAGATGTTTTAGCATTTGGTTTGCTGATTCAGTGAAACACGTGTTGTAATTTGTATCCTTTGTACTGCATATTTTCACATCCGCAGCTGAAAAAGTATTTCACAAAACACATTTTAATATTTTGTATTAAACTAGAGCTGCTAAAACAGCACGCAGTTTCTCGCCCATTTTTGAACGCAAAAGTACCCGAAAAGTACTCAAATTTTCAAAAAATTATACATATGAACTTTTTAAAAATATATATTTAAGGAACAATTTCATGAAGGGTAAATATATCATCGTTAATATTTTAGGTGTAAGATGATTGAAAAAATGTCAACTTTTGCAATTTTTAAAAAATTAGTTTTTAACGAAAATGAGATCTGCAACATTCTCTTAAACGTCCTTACCACTATCCAAAACCACAATTTAATCGAAAACGACGGAGACTTTTTTTTAATTTTGAAAGTGTCCCAAGAGTTTTCTGTAAAGTACACTCTAAAATATAAATATCGATTTAAAATTCAATAGGCCGTGACATCAGCTTGTTCGAATGGGAAACATCAATTTTTAAGAAAATCGGCTTAACGGTTTATCCACTAGCGTTGTTCACAGACAGGCCTTTTGCCATCATTCTATTTATCGGTACCACAGCACATTGTTATTGTACAGTACATTGTCAGAGATTCTAGTTATACCACGTGGTAGAGGATATTTTGCTAAACTTTGAAACTGGATTTATCCAATATCAGGACCCTGTAAGAAAAAGTTTATCTGTTCGTAATTCTCAGTTTTTTCGCAAAGCATTACAGAATTTTCTCTTTACTCCATAATAAGAAAGTAAAAATTGATCCAGTTTAAGAATTTTTTTCAGCTTGCATTAACTTGAAACACAAATTACACGAAAATTACTGGTTTAAAAAATGTGCACAAGACGTTTTCTAAGGGTCTTACTTTTTTTACACATTTTGTTTAAACCAAAAATATAGAATCAATATGGACTTCAAAGTTAATTTTTTGCAATTTTCAAAAGAGAATATAAATTTTGGAGAAAATCGTCGGAATGTTTTAGGCACTAGCGTTGACTGCCAACGGAGAATAAGACGTTTTGCCGTCAATCGATATTTCTGTATCAAGGGCTTGATACGAATATATTCTGACTACACAAGTTGTTTAGGGAAGTAATTTACTACATGTAGAAGATGATTAATCCACATCTATTGTTACCACGGTCCGGCAATAAGGTGATTTCTCAACAAAAAAAATCGCCGATTTTCAGCGGAAGTTTACAATACTATATCATCATACTAATAAAATATACAAAACGGTACATACAATAATATAAGTCATGATGGCCAAATTTGTTAATCTTGTTTTCATTTCTTAAAATGTTAAGATTTTTTACTGAAAATCAAACCTGTCCCATTTTTAATACGTATGTCTTGTTTCTTCCAGGAAAATTACGGAAATTCCCCAGAGACCTCGTGTAAAATGTCCCCCAAAATAAAGAAACCCTATTCAAATTCGAGGGCCCGCGACTCCGTCCAGGAATATTCATTTTGGTGAAAATTGTGTTTACCGATAAGGTGCTACTGTTCTTCACAGAGGGACGAAATTATATTTTGAAAAATTAAATTATTGTCAGGTACCCTTAAAATATATTTCCTTCAAAATATCGTCGTAGATTTTTCATAAATATAAAACTTCTTCTATACTACTTGGTTTAAGAGAAAGTAAAACAAGAGAAAGTAAAACAAAAAAAGACACTGTGGGATACTGTAAAACTTACCACCTCATGGTGTTTTGTCTTTTCGTATTCTATACTCACGGAAAAAAAGCGCCCTGTCCGAACTCTCAGCAATTATTTCACCGAAGCTGAGCGACAGTAGCGCTAGCAATCGGCCCAAGGTTATTCTGTACCCAAGAAACATGTCGACGCGATGTGCAGGTTCACAACACTACTGAAAAACTACTTCATGTGCTCTTATATACCCTAGAAGTTACACCATAAAGTAACAAGTTTTTAATGTTTTGAGGAAGTTGACCACTCGTGGTTCAAGGGAGAGGAAAGAATGGTAATGAGCATCTTATCTCTCACACAACAATTACAGCCTCGAGTAATTGGACTTCCCTGAGTCATCAACGAAAATTAACAAAACAACGTACTCTTTAATTGTTTATTTTCCTTTATAGAAAAATATTACCTTACATTGTCTGTAACAATAATATCGAACATAACGTATCAAATGTCATCCAGGGTAGAATCTCTAATTGAAGAAGATAAAAAAGCTTTACGTTCCCCTAGTTTTGATTCTGGGTATACATTGCAGTTTTGTCAAGATTAATTTTTTAGAAAGAATGGAGGAATAAAATCCTATTGATAATTTTGAAATTCAATTTCTGAAATGGGTTTTCAAATACTTTTTCAATATGCAACGAAAATATTTATTTTTGATTACTTAATATTTAAGCAACGTAGTTTTTGCTGATTATAACCAAATTTGCAAAGAATAAGTTAGTGATGGCTGACATTTGAAAATAAATAGGGTACATAAATGTTTGATATTGAATTTATATAATTTTCCACATAGGACTGCATGTATCACAGATGAAGGAAGCTACGAAATTAGGGAATTGTTAATTTAGAATTATTGAATGAATAACTCGTAATGTTTTAATATAACAAATTGCTTGATATTCAGATGACTTCGTATTTATTTTCAATTTATTGATCCTATTATGTAAATAGTATAACACTTTTGTAAGTTGTCTAGTGCTATTAGGTATTTATGTGCGCATATTAATTTATCGCATTTAAATAAATCTATTTGTGAATTGTAACAGATTAGAAAAGTCATAAATATATAAAATAATTATTGGGATAATAAGAAACCTTGTGAGACGCCTGCCAGTATGCAATACACGGATGAATATTTCATATTCATTTGCACTTTAAGTTTACAATTAAGAGAAACTCTTTATTCTTGGGCAAATTAGAGGGAAACAAAATGTACATATTTTTAGCAATAAGTCTTCATGAAATAAGAACTTCTTCTACATGTAAAAATAATTATGTTACCCTTAAATGTTTTACAATTTGTATTGTTTAATAGAATTGAGATATGCCTGATAAATATTATCGATTTTAATTTTTGGAAAAAACTAGTTTGTTTTGATTCCCTAGGCCTTAACCCTGATTTTTGCGACAATGGTAGTGTTAATCATGGGTTGATTCTCAGAGACATGTCTGCTCTTGGAATCTGACACTTCAGTATATAGCAAAAGGGGACATAAATTCGAGATCAAGTTTAGTAAATTATTCTGTTTCCTCATCTTCGGTTGGGTCTTAACATTTAAACAAAAAAAGCATTACATATACTCTAATTATAATAGTGTTTGCTCCTTCCAATGCAGGTGATAAACAGTTACGTGTTCCACTCACCGCTACAGGTGCTAGAATTTTTTTGTGGGCAACATCGGAAAAAGTAACATCAAAACACACAGCTTCTTTTGAGTAAGGCATCTATTGAGAGATATTTAAATATTGTATGTAAAAGAAGGGTCAGTAGAGCTTGAGACATTTTTGACATTTTTTTGATCGTGCAGTCGTGTCCGACGTTTCTTGATCCCATGTTGTAGATCTCTCCACATCCTACTACTGTGTGATCAAGAAAAAAACAAAAACAAAGTTGTCATCTCAGCAATCTTTCAAAAGTGCTTGCAGACCTTTAGTAAAAATGGCGTCCATTACTATGATGTGCAACTTTACGATATCAGTTGTATGGTGTGTTTTCCTACCGTTCTGTTCTAATGATATTGATTGTATTTGATTTGTTAATTCTATTGGTCATATTTCATCTTGCCTATAATTCAATACGTAAAACTTAGATGTTGAAGGTAAACACACTACACTAATACAATGCTGTTATGGTTTTAATTAAAACTAGCTGACCCGGCGAACTTTGTTCTGCCTTAATGGCAATAAATAAGCAGATTTTTTTCATTGGAAATAATACAATACCTAACTTAAATACCTACATTAATCATTCATAATTATTTCTGTATTTTAGTACATAGGTTGCTCTTCATTTAAGTACCTTGTGATACACGACATTTTTTGTTTTATTATCAGGCGCAAAAACAAACAACGCAGATGGTCTTCCGACCCGTGAACATGCCACGTATAATTGACCATGGGAAAAACATGAATGTTCTAGATTTAAACCACAAACTTAAGGATTGGCCTTGTGATTTGTTGATGGTCATGGCAAATGCAAGACGTATCTGAAATTGAAGTCTTTTAAATTCAAACGACATATCGGTTGGGATCATCGGTATCCTCGGAATGAGGACTTCCTCACCTTTGAATTTTCCTATCATTATCGTAGCGTAAATTACATTGTTCATCAATTTTCTAACCAACCTTCATTTGCGTTTTGTTATTCCAAGTCTGATTCTTTTTTGTTATACCACGTTTTATAGTGACTGACGTTTCATGTCAAGTCACATGGGAATGCTGTCGAACGGGATAAAAAGTATCCTATGTCCTTCTGGCTCTAAACTACCTCCCTGCCAATTTTCAGCTAAATCGGTTCAGCCGTTCTTGAGTTATAAGTGGAGTAATATATATATATATATAAAAGAAAGTCATGTTAGTTACTCCACTTATAACTCAAGAACCTATAACTATATTACCTTACCTTATTGGTACTTTAATTCCCATCACTGCGGTGTGTGTCACCGCACTAAATTAAAACAAAATACTGTAATTATTAATTTTATCAAATTGTTATTATCGAGCCAATTTATACTCTCAACAACGCATTTCAGAAGATTCTGACTAATCTACACCTAGAATAGATTAGAATTAGGATAGATTAGATTTAGAATAGATTAGATTCTGAATTAAAATTGACTAATTTAGGAAGACCTGATGATCGCTACATGAAGCGCCTCGCACGAGAGAGCTTTTCCTGGCACTGCACTGCTTGACCTTGCTCAAGCCAGTTTTCACACGGTACAATTTTGTTTGTATAAAAACCTGACCGGCCAGACCAGGCACTTCTTGTTTGAAAAAATAAACAAAGCATTATTTTTTTCGGGCAAA